TTAAGCGTTACATCCCGTTTTTCTTACCCCTACCCCCCTAAGAGGACTTTTACTCACTTAGCCTACTGAACATAAAGAAAAGCATTTACAAGTATGTTATGATCCATACAATGCCCAATTTATATGCAAGTCACACGTTATTGACTTAACAATCACTCTTAACCACCAAATACACGTCATAGTGATCACGTGATAGGTCGAATTGCCATAAAATGCCAAATATACCGAACTACTGTTTTCAGATTGGCAAAAAGATGAAATATGTTCCTTCCGAAGTATTTTAAAAGTTATCTAAATGGTTCGACTTTACATTAAACGTTCAATTTTGCAAGCTGATGCAAATCCCTGTCTAAACAATAATATTTTGCCGTAATATTCGTTTTTAAACACTCGTTCCCAGTCTCCCAGACTCACGGCTCAAGCTATTTGTGGCATTGCTGCTTACGATATGGTTAAAAAACTTCAATTTTTACTAATTGAAGTATATTTTTCTGGGAAGGAAACTCCTCTTCATGGAAAAAAGAGCATTTTTCTTTATTTGAAGAAACTTTCCTTTTAAGTTTTAGCTACTGCGGCATGCATTCCTATTGAAAATGGAAGTTGCTGTTTCTCTAACAACTTCCCAGAATATTTGCAATCTACAAAGTTCATTAAAAGTCATCATCATCATCTTCGTCTGCTTCATTATCAACAATGTTTGATGAATCGTCTTGAGCTGGCTTGTTGGTGCAGTCGTTTAGCGAGCAGAGATCCGTGCACTTCAAACCACTGTTCATGCAAACACAACTTGGGAGTTCACAGGTCTTCTTATATTACACGCCAGCAGTTCCAGGACAGCAGAAGGAGCTGGCTGCCCGTCCATCCAGTCGATCACTAGTTCAGTGGATGCAGCGTCAGTGGAGGTCTGTGTTATCCACCCCATACCATCTGGACTGGGAATGTCTGGGTTAGCCTCCAGGCTCCGTCTCCATAAAGCTGCAGGAGTGATGTTATACTAAATTAGTTGTTATCCTCATCACATTTCCTGTGATAAATATTTAATAGAAACAGGCGTTGTCAACTAACCTGCTTTGTAGTTTGCACGAAGAATGTGTTTCCGAAGGGAGTCCTGGCAAGGAGGTAGCTGGTGTGACTCCAGTTCGCCATTCCTTGCACAGAACAGCTCGTATCGTATCGTGCATCATTCACGTGGCTGGTTGTGTTGCCGACTGGTATGTACATGGAGCAGGTGAACTTCTCAAGCAAAGTGTAAAGGTCCTCTGATACTGTCCAGGACTAGCCAAGCTCTCGGAACGCTCTTCTTGCGCCTTCATTGCTTTTAAGGATTTTAAGAGCCCCTATCTTTCCTTTACCAGCAAAGGCACTTACTGAATCACACCCTGTAAAAGAATGCAACCCAATCAGTGCCTCGCATATCTCTCGCCCGGTTCTCTGAACTGCTCCTTTGATGTCGACAAGTCGCGTCCTCGTTCTGGAACCGCACTTCATATAGAGTTTAGTGTTGATAATGCTTGAGAAGTTCAAAAGCAAGACAAACACGTCTGTGTCTTCTGAGATCACTGCGACTGCTTCATACCCCTCCTGGGCAGCATGTTTAGCGTGAAGCAGTAGACGAGTGTCAGCTTCCTCCTGGTTACTTGTCAGCTCTGCCACATTCTCGCTTCCCCTTTCAGTTATCTTCCAGCATTCGCTCTCGGCAGTAACAAACAATGTTTTTCCTTTCAGCCTTCTCATGCAGTCTTCTTCTCTCCATTCTCTGGAAATGAACTTGATTAGACTTGTCTTGTTCTTGACCTCCGACAGGAACTTTCTCCACTGCTTGACCAGCTGAGTAGAACTTATATGCGACAGTTGAACTCCCGCAACTTCTCCACGCATGGTTCTCTCTGCGTTCTTAATTGACATATCTCTGTATGTATCGAAAACCACGTCGATTCTGTTGCTCTGGGAACCTTCGTGAAGAACTTTTGTTAGAAGAGAAGAAGCAACCATTGCGAAGGTTGTCTGTCCTCCACCAACGCTCAACTTCTGAACTAGACTCATACCGTCGATAATAGCAGCTGAGTTCTGCGGAAGGCCATCAGCTAACGGTACATCCTTTTGGAGGGGAGTCGCCAGCGCTGCTTTGTTTGTTTTTCGAGGAAACCCTTCTGTAGTTGCTAAAGACCACGGTAATGGCCCCAAGCTGTACTGTAGCAGTTCTCTCACATCAATCTTCCGGCTCTGACCAATGATTATGATCCGCCCAAAAAGAGACCTATCGGCTTTCAAGACCATCGTCCTGCCGTCGGTGGAAACCTTTTTCTTCTGACTAAGGGAAGAAAAGGTTTTCAGTTTGTTCAACTTCATTGTGTCATGAAATTTCTTCTGTGGTGGAGACGATTCCAGACGTTGCTCTTTGAACACTTGATAGGCCTCTTCGCCGACTTTTCGAGCGTTCAAAAGGTCTCTAGTTACATCTTCAGGCGCTTGTTTGGCAGTGGATAAACTCACAAGCTCTTTCCTCTCTGTGAAGGGATTGTTCCAGCCTTCAATCAGACTCTCTATTGTTGTTACTGCTTGCTCGTCTTTGCGCTTCCTGGTAGACAGCATTTCGTCATGATGATAGGATGGGCGCTTGACTTGAACCATGTCTCTCAAATGAGCAAGAAAGGAGCATCGGTACTCAGCTGTCATGTAGAATCTAGTTACCGCTCCTGTCTTTAGACTATACTTGGTAATGCCCCCACTTGACTTGGTGTCCTTGTTGACAGTGACTTCCGTGGTCTGGTCTACAGGGATGCGCCCAAAAGGGCTTTCTCCAGCAAGTTGAACGGAAAATCTTCCATTCATGAAGTTGGAATACACGTTCGGGTGTTCGGAGGGGAGATTTATCATCTGAGCGTAGTAGACAGGTAGATACCTAGCATAGTTTATTTTGTCGTACGCGAAGCACCACGGGATCATGTTACGAATGGCGTAGAGATGTAGCTGCCAGTTACCTTCACGAGATGCTCGAATCAATCCAAGTAGTACATCACCGACAATGTCAATGTACGACATCCAAAAGCAGGACAGTGGGCCATTCTCAGAGCGCAGGTATTGCAAGTATTGCATCCAAATCAGGTGAATTTCTTTGAAAGGATCACTGTTCAAAATACTTTCACACTGTCGGAGTTCTACTTCATTGACCATGTCGCTGACCTTGACTTGGAGGACACGTAGTTTACCCACTTTGTCTGCATGGTTAACTGTTAGCCATGGCACAAACTGCTTCCATACGAGTCGCATAAGAGCTTCGTAGATGTACTTGTGGATGCGAACAGCACGATTATACACCTTCCCTTCCATAACACCACACACGGATCCTCCAGCTAGTATGCCAGATTCGATACAGACATCACTCAAGCCTGCATCTTGAAAGCGCTTCCCTATTATGGACAGTAGGTTGCAGATTGTATGAAATGTTCCTAAGCGAAGAATGATTTTCTCATAAAGCTCTCTGTTTTTCCAAGCAACCTCACATGCTTTGGCATATAATGCTTGATCCAATACAACGACGATCTGGTCTAGATAAAGCCTTTTCCTGATGTCTTCGGACTGGCGCAGGATTTCATTAACGGTGCTTAGCTCTGTCGCTGGGGCATTAATTGTTGGTAAATAAGCCACCACGTCCTCCCGCACATCCTCCTTGCTTCGCGTTTGAACATGAAAACCGGTCCAGCTTGGTACCCTCTGGTCCTCTACATGGGTCTGGCGTGCCACAGCCCAGGTCAGATTCCATGCTTGAGCATTACGAGCTTCTGCTTCCTGGATGTTCATCAGATTGCTGCTCGCTTTAATACGACCTGGACCAACTCTTTCACCAGCGATGTACGTGGGCAAAGGTTGCTCTTCGTGGATGATACTCCTCTGCTTCTGCTTCAAAATTGGAGGCAGCTGTGGAGCTGGTAGATGTGGCCCAAAGACTCTTGGTTGCACCGCTATTCCATTAACTCTGTGGGTTGTACCCCCTCCAGTCAAGGTTTCCTCTAGGCGATCGATGTTGTCCCAAGCTAAATTGGTAAAAACGTTTGGTTGAATGGTTCCTGGCAGTATTGTAGTCTGATTGAGGTTAGCAGCGAGTTTTTGGAGACATAAGGCTGTATCATTCTCTTCTAGCTGGGAATACGACACGCCATGGCCAAATCTATTGAGCATACGGATTAATTCTACATTGCCAGTCAAAGTTTTGACTCCATACGATAGGAGAATCTGCTTAGGTGGTTTTGTCCTGCCGCCGGTCACTGCATAAATAATATCTTGACTGAAGGACTCAAGTAACATTTTCACTCTTGGTGAGGGATTCTTCACGTCACGATTTGATGTGAGTAGTCCTATCAAGAAGCGACGAAGACATTCTGGTACAGGAAACTGATCAACGGATAAATCGGACGGGAGAATAGGCCAGGGCATAGTCCACTTCATATCTAAAATCACATTTCGCAAGTGTTCAGCGCTCTGATCGACGATCGTTTGCATTTCTGTTGCTTGGGACTTAAAACTCATTACTTCCTTTTCCAGGTTAACCATCTTCTTTACTGTTTCCTTGATATCCAGGTTTGCAGGAATAACCAGTAGCTTTCCCTTTTCATCTGGAAAAATTTCCAAAGTGGAACCAAACTCTGACTCTAGTTTCTTTCTCAGGTGTTTCTTCGTTGATTCCTGAAGCTTCTCTGTACCTCTCGATTGAAGAAAAGATTCCAGCTTCTTTGTTAACTCAATCATAGTTACCACAACCTGCGCATCTAAAACATCAGTTCTAATAAAACTAAATAAATCTGAAAAGGCATCATATTCAGCATCATTCTTGGGTTCGCTTTCCTCTGGGTGCTGCTGAGAGGTGGGCCTTGTGTAGTCACGGTAGCACGTTCTATGATAGTGTGCTTCTGCTGCAACGATATCTCTACTTGTAATTGCCAGGATCCGCTCGTCACATCTCTCGGTAGCTATCTGGCGCAGAGTCTGGTCCACCCTTAGCTGAGTAGCTTTTACCAGCTTTTCTAGTGTACGGTTTACATACTTGGGTCTCTCACAGAAAATGCATTCTTTATAGTAGACACGAGATGCGGAGGTCGCACTTCTTTTTCTGGGCCTTTCAAGTAGAGTTTCATCTTCATGAGCATCCTCTTCCAAGGCACGTTTTCTTTTGAGCGACTCTAAATCTCTCTTGATGGTAAATGCACTGCGACATTTCCTATGGTAGAATATTTCAGGCACTTCCCCTTCTTGAGCATTTCTCGCAATTTGAAGGAGGGCCTCATGTTTTCGAATCTCTGCCGCCTCTAACAGCGTTGCCCACGAATCATAACTTTGGGGGCTTATCAAATGGTCATCGTCAACTTTCAAGCCTTCCTTGTGAATAATGCAATATTTACTTTTACGAACGGTTGCTGACATTTCCTTTATAAGTCGAATGAAAAAAGACAAAGCCTATTTTAGCAGATTTCAGCCTATAGCTTTACAAATTACCAGTTTTGTGTGTTATTTGTTAGTTGAGTAGTAAAATATGTGACAACAAAGTTCCAAATTTCCTATCATTATATATGACAGCAAAATTCACCATTTTTACCGGTGCAGTTGCCCTTAATGATCACTTAAGAAACCTTATTTTTAGTTAAAAAACACACACACACACACTGATCTAAATTTCCAGTAGTTTGATGGTCTTGACTCTCCTCGGCGGCCATCTTGAAAATTTCGTCAGTAATGTACACGCTAAGGCTCGTTAACCGCAACTAAAACGATGTAAATCAGAGGATTATAGCCAAATGTAATCATTAAGTTAGATTTTTTTAGTTAAAAGAAGGTCTACAGTATATCAAAAAGGGTGAAGTCTATCATTCTGTTTGTGGCCGCCATCTTGAAAACTTACAGATATTACAAAGGTGAAAATATTGACTAAAATAATGACTTTTGAGACTGAGATTAAAGTAACAAGGGTATCAGTTGAAGGCAAAATGACCTTTGTAGCGTAAAACATAACTTTTGAAAGGCAACAATGTAAAAAAGTATGAGAAATTCCCGAATTTTGAAACTTACCTCTGGTTCGAAGAGAGCTTACTGGATGATGTCAGCGGTTGGTACTGTGGGCTCAAGTCACAAAAATTACACAGGCAGCCCAGAAAACGAAAGCGAAATGCTGGGATATAATGTTTGAATTGGTTATCTCAATTTTTAAATGACTTTTTCCTTTGTTTGAGTACTCCATAAGAAATTTGTGTCATAATTTTCTTCTTCCCCTCCCCCCAAAGGTCGGAGACGAGTCACTGACAATTTTGAAATAAATTCTGCGGCCTCAAGCTAAAATTCAGAGCACAAGAATTGTTTGCAATGGATAATTAAACATGTTTAAGGATAATTAAAGGTACCCTTTGAAGGATAAATACTTACTACAGTAAAGCGACGCACTGACCCACCCCTCCCCCCCAAAACACAGAAGATGACAATTTGACCAATACTATCACACATATATAGAAACTATAGGCTAAGTACATTACGAAAAACCACAGTACTGTTTGTCCATCAATATGCTACCGACACCCCCCCTTGGTTCATACACTATAAGGAAATGTGAATACTCAGGCATTGCTGTCATTAGCTTGCGATCGAGGGGAGGGGTGGGGGGGGGAGCTTGTCATGCAGCCAATACTAGTTCATAATATTTGTTCTGGAGTGTGCCATGTCGGACTTTGCTTGACTCAAACCTTTTGTTAAAATATCTCCACCACACGGTCGTCAGGGCAACTAGCAGTGTTACATGTAGGAATTAGTTTTTGCAACAGATAAATTTCTCGGCCAGCCTAGTCCCTAGGCGTTCTCTCGTGATCCGTTGTCTGCGCGAAGTCTGGGAGAGGGAGAGGGCGGGCAAGAGTATCTCTCGGTGACGTCACAGCTCACGGTAGAATCCAGGATTGACCGAGCCGAGAATGCCTAGAGACTAGGCTGTTTCTGGGCTATTCATGGGTTTCATTTACTACTTTTTTTGCCTCATTTGACGGTACATGAAAATGGCCTTTTTCTGCCAATGTTCATTTGCAGAAATTTTGGGGCTGCAGCCTCGTTCTGGGCAGTTATCTCGTGTATCAGCAAACTAAAGCCCTTTTGAAATGATTTTGACCAAGGTATTACTGAGACAAGACTAACATGCAGTTAAATAACTCATTTATTCAAATATATCTTTTCTCGATCTTGAGAATCACATCGATTAAACAAATAATTATAAATGTCTACAAGTTTCATAGACAGAGTATACTTGTCTCGTATTTATCACGAGAGAATGAGCTTTCTCTCTTGTAAGTATATACTAGATTCCACAGAATTTACATGTGACCTCTCTCGTTTTCAAAGTGATACAAAATAAGATTGGTTATGACCATACATAACATAGCCTCTTCTAGGCTGGCGTTCAGATTGTGCGGCCGGAAGCAACACCTGAAGGGAGCATGCACAAAACTGGATTTACTCTCTCCCCCCCCCCCC